GCAGGGGTCAATTACAATCATTTTTTGTCAATAGACATACCCTCGAAATCCTACCCACTATCTAGGAAAAAATTCGAGAAATTGTTCAATTTTCGACGAAATTAAAAAATTTCAAATCGTTCTAAAAAAATTATTCTTGATTGCAGGGGTCAATTACAATCATTTTTTGTCAATAGACATACCCTCGAAATCCTACCCACTATCTAGGAAAAAATTCGAGAAATTGTTCAATTTTCGACGAAATTAAAAAATTTCAAATCGTTCTAAAAAAATTATTCTTGATTGCGGGGGTCAATTATAATCATTTTTGGTTGACAAACATACCTTCGAAATCCTAACCATTTTTGAGAAAAAAATTCAGTATGAGCGGAACCTTAAATGTTAATAACTTTTTAACGAAGCCTCCATCAATAAATTAGTATTCTTGATTTTCGTCTTATTTAGGCCTCTAGAAGACGCTCTCCTTTGTTCCCAATTTGCAATGTAATATTTTATAATGTTGATTTCTGTCACTGAATCATTGCATTTTACAGAGATGAAATAAAAGGGAGAGATTCAACGATTACAGTTATTCTACAACCTAACATAAATTAATCCTGAACTTATAGTGTAGCCTAAATAGAAGATGGACGATTCTACGTAGAAGAAAAAATCTAAAATATAGTGTTATAGGAAATGGAAAAAGATAAAGCAAGAAACAGAGGAATTTATCGAACTTATGATCGAGAGAAGGTTAAAATAGTAAGCAGACATGTACGAAAAGGAAGCTGGCAATTTGGCGGTAGGGTAAAAGGACGCAGGAAGTATAAATATGTATAAATAGGAGACTTTGAGACAAAGATCTTGTAAACAAGACAGCTGAGACGAGAGATCCGTTTCTACCGCATATTCAGCGAGGGATTTCAGAACGTTGAAACGAGAGCAACGTGATCGAATTCACCGGAACAGTAGGAGAAACGAATTTTGGATGAATAAAAGAGGACGGTCGAGAAGAAAGACAGGGTCCACAAACGATATCACAATAATCAAACAAGGAAACCTCAAAGGATTGCGAAAGTATCAGTTAGAGTGGGTGGACGAAATAAAACGAGAAGGATCGTAAACGAAAAGAGGCAAAATTCGTACCGCTGAGTGAAATTTTCAGAGAAAATATTTTAAATACTACTCTAAATGTGAAATTCTTTACGATCGAAATAAAAAAATATTTCGAATAAAATTGAAAACTTTCTAGGGGTAAAATATTTTTATTTTTGACATCTATAACGAAACCTTTTACTTTGACAATTTAAAATATAGAATAGTATATTTTGTTTTTATAAGCTAAAGTATAAGATGAAATACTTAATCTTGTTTTATAAGTACGAGTTTAAAAGAGTCCTTAATTCGACGATAAATTACGAAAGGAGATAATGCAAGGAGTAATAATTGCGAACTGAATTTATTTACTGTCTTTTAAGAACAGCTTAAGCTGGTAATAAATACTTTCTCAGGAAGAAGTACTTCATTCTATACTTCGAAGAAATAAAGATATTTTACCCCTTTATTCAGTAAAATAAACATAGTTCGTTTGCTGATGATAAATTAAGTAAAAAACTGTGATATAGATATTTTTAATAATCTTCGAATAAAATTTTCAAGAATTTTTCCAAGAAATTAAATATTTTCGAAAAGTACATGTATGACTTGGATTAAAATAGTTATTTACTATTTATTAATTTAAATAGTATTTTACCTAGCTCTGGGCACAATAACTTAAATATGAAAATGAATAAAAACACCAAGCTTTTTGAATAGTTATTGACTAAAATAGATATTAACTAAAAATAATTGTTATTCGATCAATTTTTTTTTTAGTTAGTAGTTGAAACAGTTTAATCAATTTACAAAGAATAAATTTCACAAAATAACGCAAATGAAATTGATTTCATTTCCTTTTCAATAAAAAGAGTTTGATATTTATATTATAAAGAAAAGTGAGTTGTAAACTAGGAGCAAATAGAAACAAGGTCTCCAATTTTTATGTTTCAGAAACGTTGTTTACGGAAAAGAATAAAATATTAAATGAAATATTTCTATTTGTCAACCAAGTTAGGAGCCGCGGCTCGGTGGTTGCGAAGCTAAGGATTTTCTTCATTAGAGTTCGTAGACAGATGAATGTGTTTGTTTAACATGTTGGGAAAAATGGAAAATATATGCTCCCGTCCATAAATCACAGGAGACTTAATGACTGTGTAACCAAAACGAATTAACACTGGGAAGCGATGTAGATTATGTACTAAAAATAATTTATTCAATACGTTACAAAAGGAAACTCATATTGCATGCTATTTATTTTACCAAAATGTTAGCAAATAGTTTGAAATTTTTTTGTGATTATTTAAATTAACGCTGGAATTCTGTAGTATAATTTCCATTAATATCGTTCCAACCCTTGTGTAATATTTTTCACGAATCTTTCTTTGATTTTGAATTGCATTTATCTTCTAGATTTACCCCCTCGTACAATTTTACTTGTTGCATATTTATTTTGATTTCAAGCGAGTGTTATAAAATTCACAAACTAATTAAGATAACTAAACGTGACAAAGATAAGAAAATTGTTTCAGAAAATAGTATCCAGTACCTTAATTTGCATTTTCCAAGACGATCGAGCAAAATATCCGGTGACATATGGACAGTAGTATATAAGGGATGTTGTTTGGTAAATAAATGAAGAATAACATGTAATTTTATTATAAATTCACAGAAAAGGAAATCCCACAAAATATTAAAATTAATTATTAACTTCACGAAGGTTTTCGCCTCGAAAAAATATTATTATTCTAAAGAACGTGCTTTACCATAGATTATTAAATAACGGAGTTACCATATAACAATAGCAATAAACTAGAAAAATTGATTAAAGTTAGAAATTGTAATAAAAATTTTTATTAATTTAAAATCGTCATTATATCACTGTTAATATCAGAAAAGCTGTTCAAAGATAGTTAATAAAAATTCACCGAACGTGTGACTTCCTACGATTGATGTTTAACATTAGCGAAGATAACGCAACTCCAAGTGTTGGAACGCCTTGATAAAAGACAATTATCAAAGGCGGAGAGAAACATTTTGCAGAAAGGAGTCGAGCTATTGCTCCGAAAATTGTGATGTGGGTCTGTAGACGGACGACTACTTTGAGATTTATCACACAGAACTTGTTTTCCGAGGTACGCCATTTGTCTCTGTCCGTTCGGTGAAGTTTCCGGTTCGCGGACTCGGTCGTCAAGGAGTTAAAGCTAATCGAGTCTTATACACAATACAGAACGTGTTAAACACGATGTCCAGGGAAGCGAAAATTCCCTCTGTGTCGCCCTACGAATTTCAGAGGATACTCCCATTCGGGGACCTCGATTTTAAACGATTTTCAACATAAGAAATGAAAATAAAATTTAAAAAATAAAAAATTACCATATAATTATACAGTAAGGATTTTCAAATTTCTCTGTTTCATTACTAACCCAGATCTAACCCAGACCTCGATTTTAGACGATTTTCAAAATAATAAAAGAAAATAAAATTTTTTTAATAAAAAGTTACGGTATAATTATAATTATAATAGTAAGGATTTTCAAATTTCCCAGTTCCCTAGAACGATGTGAAATATTTTTTTTAGTCGAAAAATTTGGACGCTTACCCCCTGTCGATGTTACTTAAAAATTCGTTTTTCATTTTTAATAAATTTGATTGGCGCTGTACAGAAAAAGTTATTTAATACTTTTTTGGAGGTAACCATGAACTCTAGTTCTCCCCAAAATTTCAATGCAATATATTCACTATTGTAGGAGTTGTGGACGTTTGAAAATTGGACCAGTTTTATGGGGTTTTTCTCATTTTACGGAGTCAAGGAATAATTTTTCGTATATTTTTAGAATTTCTACATATTCTTCACTAAAATACGCATTATTTGCATTTTTAAACATTAAAATCGTCCAATCCGTTCAGGAGTTATGATGTTTTAAACATATGCATGAAATTTCAGTGACACATATCAATGGTATGGTCAGACATCTACGGTGACGAATTTTTTTCTCGAAAATGGATAGGATTTCGGAAGTATGTGTAATGACCTAAAATGATTATAATGGACCCCTGCAACCGAAAATAATATTTTTAGAAAGATTTGAAAAATTTTTTGTTTACCGAAAAAAGCACCTAGCCAAATTTTTTTCTCGAAAATGCATAGGATTTCGGGAGTATGTGTAATGACCAAAAATGATTGTAATCGACCCCCGCAAACAAAAATAATTTTTTCAAAATGATTTGAAATTTTCTAATTTAATTTTCTAATAACTTTTTCAAGAAATTGATATTGATTTTGGCCTCTAGAATCTCCCATTAAAATTTTTCCCATGTGTGGCCGGACGCCCTGTACAACATGATCTAAAACAAGAGTAAGGAAGTTATGGTCAATCGTAACCTTAAATAAAATAAAATAAAACATATGCAATCATATGAATCAGTGTACCACATCAAGGTGTTAAGTCTGAATCTCGAGTGTTCCCGCTGAAATCAGCTCAATTATATTATTCCGTTCGCGAAACGAGCGAATCCTTGCTGAGTTTGCAGCTGAAATAGACAATAATATTAGCCCGAAGAAAAGCATCCAGGACGCACGAAATCGCGATATTTTTGCCTACGTTGGTCGGTTGATGGGCGTGGACGTTCCCGTCTCTTTTTTTCTCCACCGACGTGCACGCGAACCGTTTATTTCAATTTCATTAACCGCTCGACAAAATAAAATAGAATTTAATTTATTCGACCAGCGGTCGTTCCGATGGAAACGAGGGGAACGCGCGCGCTAGACGCGGTAAAATGTATTAAAAGCCGGCAGAGAACGTTGGAAAAATTGGATCCTCGAGCGTGGCGCGGCACCGGATGGTCGATATATCGGGTTATCGGGTGAAGAGAGTCCGACAACCACGCAAATAGCTTATATTGGTGTTTTATTTCACGCTTACCGACAACCTCCAGGAACAGAAATATACTCGTAGGTGGATGGGTGGACACTTGGCACTGGTACAATCCGGCATCCCTCGGTTGAACGTATTTTATTTGAAGAGTCCAGTCCAGGCTGTTGAGGAAATGGCTCGCCTGGAATCGTTCGTCGTTCGCGTACGTTGTCAGTCCGACGGTCAGTAACTCCTGGGCGTTCTTTCGCTTGATCCACGACACCTGAAATCCGGCAAAAAGTCGCGTTAACAAGAATCATCTGTCGTCGGTGGCCGGGATCGGTCGTGAAGCCCGGAAAACGAGGGGATCTCTGCCCTCCGACGATAGGATCCGAACGTTTCGCGTCCACGAGACTCGTACACCGTTCACAGTGAATCCCATAAGTATTCCTACCCCTGCACAGTGATTAAATTCATAGATCTAGGTGGACAAAATGAAAATATTAATGTTATCGAAACAGTCCCAAGTCCTATAAATTTAGAGACTGATTTTTTTAAATTGTTTACAGAATAGAATTACAATTCAATATTGTCTCCCTCAAAATGACTTCCTTGAGAAGCCACACAGCGCTGGAGACGATTTTTCTAATCCTTATAGCACTGCTGGAACATGGAACATGGAACATGGAGTATAGCTTTCAGCTGGTAAATTACAGCCGCTTCAATGTTTTCGAGTGTTCCAAAATGACACCCCTTGAGGTGATTTTTCAATCTCGGGAAAAGGAAAAAATCACAAGGACTGAAGTCAGGCGAATAAGGAGGTTGAGGAGCCACAGGAATGTTTTTACTGGCCAAAAACTCATTTACTGAAATTGCTGTGTGGCAAGACAAAATTCATGATTATTATTATTATAATATTAATAAATATGTATAAAAAACAAATAGTGACAAAAGATTCATGAACATGTTTCTTAAGAATGTCCATCCAGATCGTTTAAATTGCCCACTGTTCCTCGTTGCTTATGGGACAAACTTGTTGAAATGAAACGATGCACGTAAGATATTGCAATAAACATTTTGCTATCAATGAACACACGTATAAAGTTTAATTACACCAAATTATAACAAAATTGATCAACTAATAACAAAAATATATTTATTTCACTCTACATATTCGTACCATTCTTGGTAAAGTCGATTTTCTTTTGCTTCGAATGTTATTTCGCATCGAAAATAATTTCCACGGTTCACAGTCGGTTGAGTGAACGCTAACAAAGCAGTCTGGTTCGAAATTGTGTCGAAATAACATCAATAATTACAAATGAGTCGAAAGAAGTCCGAGACTGCTCTGGAAGAGCGTAAAATATTCGTTAAATTATCGCTTTAAAGCTGATAGAAAGTATGCCAAATCGATTAAACGACCCACGAAATACTATAAAATTAATACAAAGTAAAAAAGTTACCATAATATGCGATTTTTTTATCAAATTTACACTGGTACCAATACTTTTGTGGACTGCTATTACGTACTATGCAGAGTAAAATCAATATATTTTTGTTATTAGATAATCAGTGTTATTATAATTCGCTATAAATAAATTTTATACATGTGTTCATTTATGATAAAAAATGTATTACATAACTTTAAACGAATTCTTTGATTTCAACAAATTTCTCTTACGAAGGTACGAATACTTATGAGACTGACTGTATTACCGATCGGATTTTCATCTTTTCAGCCCTCCTCGAACCTGGTTTAGTTGAAACAAAGTAACCGATAATTATTTCAAATATTGGATCCCGTTAAATATTACGTCTGTGAATATTAAACGTCGGATTTCAGGTATTCCCATTAATTTCGAACACGATACCTCCAGGGAACAGATGGATTAAACGGGGAAAGAAGTTAATTATTATCAATTCTCGCAACCCTTCAACCGCCATAGTGTTTCATTTTTAAATAATCTGTTAAATAGTCCAACGATTTGTCGAAACGTTGACATTAATAATTTTTCATAAGATACAATAATATTCAGGATAATTCCGAAGCTCCTTTCATTTCTTTTGTTGCTAACGAATTTCTTTTTTAATTCGTCAATTGTTACGATTTTGGCGTGATTTACCTCTTCGATCTCATAGCTAATTTGTTTCATAACTGCTCTTCACGAATTTCTCGTCTCAAATATTATTAATCTCTCTTAACGAGCGAAAGTATCGTATGTTACTAACGAAGATTCAATTTTGTAATTATTTTTGCAATGTTTAACACTTTGAATGCTACATCGTCCACATATGACAAAACTTTTCATTTTGGAATCGATACAATTAATTGTCAAGCTGAAATGGCAAAGGATTTATGAATTTTAGTTGTTACGAAAATAATTACAAAAACAAATTTTAATTTATGCAGTTTACAATTGTGTAAAATCAAAATTTTGGTCTCACACAAAATTGCACAGCTTTGGAACTGGAACAATTAATTCTTCAGCTGAAATGTCAAAGGAAATAACTTTGAATAGGATTTATGAATTTTAGTTGTAACGAAAATAATTACTAAAACAAATTTTAATTTATGCAGATTACAATTGTGTAAAATCAAAATTTTGGTCTCACACAAAATTGCACAGCTTTGGAACTGGAACAATTAATTCTTCAGCTGAAATGTCAAAGGAAATAACTTTGAATAGGATTTATGAATTTTAGTTGTAACGAAAATAATTACTAAAACAAATTTTAATTTATGCAGATTACAATTGTGTAAAATCAGAGTTTTGGTCTCACGAGAAATTCTACAGTTTTGGTCTGGCAGTCAATGTGGCCATATTACTATCTGTAGACTATGTATAGAGGGTGGTTAATAAAAAATTGCAAAACACTTCAAAATTTAGAGGATTCAAGAATCTCACATCTCGAAACTATAAATAAAAATGTTAAAACTTCAATGATTGTCCAACCTAAAAAAAATTGCTTTTAAAATTTAATTAATTTTCTTGTTTACTAATTGATTTGTTCGAGTATAAATTTGGAACACCGTTGAAACAAAAATCGTATCAGAGAGTAAGTGATTTGGATCTCCTAGTAAGTTATTGCACCGATAAAATTGCGCCCCGATTTTCGATTCGAGGTTTTAATTAATTGCTCGTAGGTGTGTACAATAATCCGTAGCTATCGGAGTTCCGCGTACTGTATAGGGTCGTTTAAGAAATCGCGAGACAGGGCACGCGATATTATCCCTTGAGGAAACAAACAGGCATCAGGTCTGCTTACGACGTTCACCATTCACTTCCCTGTAATACCGAGAGTCTTGGATCCATTGTCCGCCTATTACGGTCAGTAACTACTGTGCCAGACCACTAACACCGCCATTAGTCAGTACTTTTTATCCACTAGCAATAACCAGTGTCCGCTTCCCAATGGTCATTAATTTCTCATTGTATGTGAGAATCGATCGTCTTAATACTGTCATGGAAACGATCCCCTCGCACGATGGGGCAATTTTAAAATTTATCAGTTCGAACGAAATTGAAAGAAACGATAAAGCATATAAAATATTTCCTTGATTATCACATATGGCAAATTTTAATTTTTGAAAAACTACGTAATGCACTTAATATGCTAAGTAAGATTAGAATTATTATATTTAGAGATTGTAACAACACCCTACAAAGCTCCCTTTTTATAAATTCTATTAATAAAAATATGAATTTACATAAAGATTCGCGGTACAGTTACCAAAGTTGCAAATAAAATGCATGTTTGCTTAAATTTTTCAAAAACTGCTAGAGAACAAAAGTTTACATAAAAAAGAGGATGCTTGGAATTAATACGAGCGATTTACAAGCACTCGACTGGAACATGTGTGGAAATTTTATGAAACTTTAAACAGGGATGGAGCATTTGAAAAATATCACGCGAGTATTTTTTTATTGATTCGAGGGATGAAAGCTGTCCTCAAAGTTGCGAATAAAATACACGGTTGTTTAAATTGTTCGAGAACTGTCAGATATTATTTACAAGCATCCGTCTGGAATGTGTGGAAATTTTGTAAAACTCTGAACAGGCATGAAGCATTGAAAAATGTTTCGCAAGTATTTTTTTTATCGATCCAAGGGATGAAAACTGTCCTCAAAGTTGCGAATAAAATACACGTCCGGTTGAATTTTTCAAAAACTGTCAGATATTATTTTCAAGAATTTACACGCATTCAGCTGGAGTGTGTGAAAATTTTATGAAACCCTGAATAAAATATTACGTATTTTTTTTATTGATTCAAGGGATGAAAATTGTCCCCAAAGTAGCAAATAAAATACATGTTTATTTCAAATTTATAAAACACTGTTAGAGAACGAAATTTTACATGTAACAGAGGCTCATACGCGTCCGTTTCTTTATAAATATTTATTATAAAACCTATTTTTAGCAGGCTAAAAATGATCCGTAGTAACGTGAATGTTGCGCTTATGGGGCTTCACTTAAATTAACCACACACTGCACTGCACAGTTCAACACATATATTTATTCGTTTCAACAATGGGTCATGTGGGCACACGTGTTCATTCGACCAGTTTCCTCAAACCGACTGCCCCGAAGGCTCCCGAGCCTACCCGAACCGCGCACGAAAGACGTGCAGTTGCACCACGCTCCTTTGTTCCAACAGTGAATATATGAAGTCACTAAATTCATACTTTCCCAATTTTTGTTGCTTCGTTCAAGATAAACATACATTTTTGTTAAACCCCAGCGCAGGGATTTCCTGCAGTCGTGCATAGAGAGTATACACTAAAGTGCATGAACAAAAAGTAACATAGTTTGTGCTGGAAAGTAAGTTTCCAGAACCTAGTTGACCAAATGTTTTACTCGATGGTTTTCCTTTTTCAGTCTCCGTTAAATTTTGTGAAATCCAATTAAACGGGTATTTCCCCAAAACTTTGAGGGTGGTTTTCAATTCCTGAAAATTAATACTTGCCTAATTTTAAAAGTTACAAAGAAGAAGTCTTTCAGAAGCTTCAGTCTATTCTTCTAAACAATTTTAGAATTTTCCTTAAATCATTCTGAGACCCTTCGGTTATTAACGATCATTTTATTAATTTTAGGGTTTAATAAAATTGCAGAATAATAAAACTGATTGTTACGAGAATTATTAACTAACTTGACTTGTAGGCCTAAATGGCTGAAATTCAATTCTAGCTTATTGTATGTCGACGTCACTCAGGTTAGGGCACGTTTCCGTAGATTCCAAAATCTAGCGACGGGATTGGCCCAATGACGTACTAATTAATACAG